TTCCTGGATGCTCATGATCTGCAGCTGCACTGGGACTGACAGGAATCACTTCAACAAGCCGTCTGTCTGTGGGGGAAGTAGGGATCGTCTGTGTGGTGGCGGTTCACGTCTGGCAGCTTTATGTGACTAGACTTCACTTATGCTGGTTCTAATCACCATCTGTTCTCATTCACCTTTTGATCAGAAAAGACACAAGAGCCTTGTGGGTAATGCTGGCTAGGGCTCTCTTTGCTGTGCCATTCTGAGGGAGCTGCAGATTGAATTCTGCTGTATTGCTATTTTGGGTTTTTTATTCATGTGCCATTGACATCAGATTGGTTGCAGTCAGGCTATAAATATCCTCACAGCTAGTTTTAAAGAAGGGTAAGCTGTCGGTTCCAAATGATGTGGCATCACAGTAGAGTTCACTTTGTTTGCAAAATTGAAAATTGAGCCTTGAGCAATGACGCCATTAGCACTCCTGTCCGTGATCATGAGTGTCTGTGTGGAGGATGAGAATGTCAGACTCAACCTGGCAGTCAAGTCATGTTTCCCAGAATTCCCTTTTTCAGCACTGACTACAGTAACAGCCTGGTGTCTGCAAGATTCAGTGGCAAATACACTACCATTCAAAAGTTTGGGGTCAGTAAGATTTTTTATAACAGAAATTGAGTGTTATTTAGCAAAAATCTAATTATTTGTTTAAAAGTGACATATATAATGTTACAAAAGATGTTTATATGTTTCCATTCATCCTAAAATATTAATAATATGGGAAAAAAAAAATCTAAATTTCCATAAAATATTAAGCAGCACATTTCTGAAGAATCATGTGACACTGAAGACTGGAGTAATGGCGGCTGAAAATTCAGCTTGGGAATAAATTGCATTTTAAAATAGAAAACAGTTATTTTATATTGCAGAAATGTTTCACAATTTTACTGTTTTTAGTATAAATATTTTTTTTATTACATAAATGTACATAATGCCTAGTGAGCATAAAAGACTACTTAAAATAATAATAACCTTACCGACTCTAAACTTTTAAATGGTAGTATAGTTTGATGGAGAAGATCTAATTAGCATATCACTTACCAACTTTTTAGCAAATCTGCCTTTTTATGATATTGTTTGACTCCTTGACCAGAGGAATTGATTGATGTTTTATGAAGTGGCTGCAATTGCAAATTTCCTGTAAACGTAAACGGCTGATCTTAGATGAGGTTGCAAAGAGCATTTGGTTTGATTTGCATCTGAGAATTGCAGACATGTACATTTTTTAAATCCTGGACACATGGAAAATTTGTCTCAGTTCATTTGTCATCAATCAGCTCTCAATTTCAGCCAAAAACATCCCATTTCGATTAACAGGCGATCAGTTCAACTATACCATTGTGAAATGGTCTCAAATGAATCTATGAAAGTTTATGTAAATAATCTATGAGAACAAATATTTGTATAAAAAAAAAAGAAAAGCAAAAAGAAAAACTATTTTGTCTGACTCGTTGGATGTCCGACCCCTTGTCTGTGTGTATGTGAATTGTGAATCAGTGTGTCTGTGTGTGATTGTTCGTCACTTCAGTGGAATGTTGTGTGTTTGACTGCATCATACTGTAAGGAAGTTCCAGTTTTTTCCCCACATTTTTCTCAGTTCGGTTCGCACAGTGGTTGCTATATTTTAAATTCTTATTTGCATATTTTTGATGCCATGGAAAAAACTGTCAGAGATGCTGCTTTTAAATGAAGCCACCAGAAGTTACAGCTGACACTAAATACAGTGATCTCAAACAGTACTATATATTACGTATGAACACAGGGCATCTTTGTACCGTTTATTCCTTCAGTAAATTAAATTTTGAAAATGCAAAACTCTCTGTGGTTTCAGAAGCAAACTGGACAGTTGAAGTGGTAACTGATGACTTTACTGCATGTTAAATGTCACCGGCAGCTTAATAATTCGTTTGTTGAGGGAATCAGAGAACAAATGAATCCAGATTTGTCTGCTTTCGTTGTTCTGACATTTTTAACAGGCCTGTTTTGTCAGGTTCCTATACTAAATATTTGCGTGTGAGTGCATGTGTTTGTATGGCTGAATGTCTCTGTCTGTTTTCCTGCATTTATGTTCGAAATTGCTACAGACCATACAAATGAAATATCTGTGTAAATGAACAACATTATATATATTTGCAAATATCTTGGCAGCAAGTGAATAATCAAATTGATGTGATGTCTTTCAGAGAAACATACTTTTGTTGCTTTTCCTTCTGTTTAGCCCTTTCTGTGCTTTTCTTTCATGATTTAATGTTGTCAACCACCTCGTGAATAATATATATATATATATATTCTGCTCTGACGGGACACCTTTCCATTCGGCGAGGCAATAACCACTGACCACTGGCTTTGAACTCAAGTCTTTCAGATTTTTTGATCCAAAGGGACATACATTACTTGTACAAGATGTACAGCACGTTCCTGCTGCAGTGATGAACTGCTCGTCACAGTTAGATCAACCACACAGCGTCAAAGCACCTTTACAGATGAGCTTTTATTAAAGAGAACCTTTATCAGCTTTTTGTGCGTCAGTGTTACGTGTGTGTCGTCCGCTCACAAGTCCAGTGATTAACTTTGCTCATCGGCTCTGTTTTAGGCATTGTACTGTTCGTTCTGCATACTGTCCAAATTCTGGCATCTCCAGGAAAGAAAAAATGCCAATTACTAGTTTTAACTAGTAGAATCTTTCACTGCTATGTGTAGCTTTGGGGACAAATTTAGTCCAGTAAGGAATAATGCATGTGTCTGACTGTTCAGAGCAGTTTTTGGCATTACTGACTGCTGCTATAATGCAGCCTGTGTTGTTACCAATGTTACCATTGGTAACAACACTTTTTGGAAATGAAAGTACAAATGTGTAACAGGACTAACAGCACATTTTGGTAAAGAATGTGTTACGCTTTATATTAAGTAAACAATTCCTGTGGATTTACCATGTAATTACTCTGATGTTACACAGCAGTGGCCAGTAAGTTAGGCTTTACATATAAATTGTGGTTGGTGTCCAGAATGTTACACTTTATATTAAGTGGACAGTTCCTGAGGAGTTACCATGTAAGTACACTGGTATTACAGTGGTGCACCAACTCCACCAACTTGAGATCCAACTCCTCCCACTTTACATATCCCTAAACCTATCCATCTCCACCCCCTGGATCAAATTGTTCCAATTACTCTTATACATATTGTTGTTACAAAATGTAGTTATATATGTCCTGTTACACATTTGTACTTCTACAAACCATTCGGAGGGTTGTTACATGTGTGTAGTTACAGAAATATTACCGCTCTAGATACTCTGTACCAATGTGTACTTAACACTGTGGTTACATACTACGTACACATCTAGTTACTATGTAAGTACACAGGTATTAGGACCACTTAATATAACGTGGGACCACTGTGGTAGTGTATGTTTGCTTGAATAAATGCAGCCTTGGTGAGAATAATAGATTTTCAAAAAAATAAAAAAATACCCCATATTTTTGAATGGTATTGTACGTGGTTGAGGATTTTTCCGTTGGAGAAAAATGTTAATCTGCATTGAATTTGCATTGAGTCGATATGTAAGTCCCATTCTCTGTTGGAGAGTAAAGCAATAACTTGCATTTTATATACAGTGCTGTATTGTATACAGTATATGCAGGAGATCAGATATCAGAGCATCACTTCAGTTTTACATCATCTATTTGCATGGGGCCTATTCTGGCTGAGCTCTAGAAACCCGTGGCTTGCGTTTTTGACATTTAGGACGTCAAAGCTCAGCTCTTGTTAAGCTTCGTGTAGAGATTTAGGATTCCTAGCTCCTTGTTTTCAACATCGTCTGCTGGACTCATCTAGATGTCATGCTCTTTATCCAATATTGATGTATATTATGTATCAGTGGTGATGACACTGGGCGATATTTAGCCTTTGAACATGCTCCAAAGCGGGAGATCAATCATCATTTGTATGCCATATGTTTTGCACATTGTGTATATATTTTAATGGATGTAATACATATTTTTACACGTTTGGAGCATCCATGAGCTCTATTTTGTGAATAGTTTTGAAGATATGATTATATATACGCCATCACATATCAGTGAAAATTAATGTATTGTGAAAATACTGTTGTAAAGGATGTTTTAGAGTCTCTTAAATATACCAGAGGAATGACATGCAAAACTTGTCTGTTTGTTTATTTTTGTCATAAGCTGAAACTGTCGTTTTTATACTCTGAATATTTAATATTATACATATTTTCAAATGGTAACATTCCATATATAATAGAAAGATTCATATACAAAAACAATCCATTGTTTTCATGGTGACATTTGATACAGTATTCTTCCTATAAACAGTTCTCCAGGCTCATTTACATGACTATTACATGAATGCAAACTAGTATTCATAGAATCACAAATGTCACTCAAACTTGGTAATATCAATTTGGATATTGGTTTATTATACTGTTAAATAAGATGTTGCATTGATAAACATCTTTTTGTTTCAACGGCTTGGATTGTTATCCAAATCATTGTTACGGTCCACATTGGTCATGACTGCAGCAAATTATTATTTTTTTTACTACATATAATATATATGAAAAATAGTACTCATAGTTGTATATATGTAATAGAGTAAGCCTACTATAAGTACTATTCCTCCATTTTGGAGAAACGTACATGTACTGCATTACATTTTAGAAATAGTGAAACGAAGAAATAGAGACCCACTTCAAGATGTGATAGTGATGTTCAGTTGATGAATGGATTCTTTTCAATGAACCGTTTAAATCGGTTCACACTGAATGAGTCATTTGTGAATTCAACTGATCCAAATGCAGGAGTTTACAGCTCTGATGCAGACTGGTCAGAGCGAGTCTAAACCACTGATTTGGTCATGTCTGATTCAAAATGAGCCAGTGGTACATGGTTTGTTTACTTCTACAACCACTAGTCATGACTATGTTTCTATCACCCTAAAGGCCTATTGGAAATGGTTGAGACGCTGCTGGACTAGTGGCCACTTGCACAATATTAATGTAGCACATTAGGTCCTCTTACTCTTAATCAATTATTATTTGCTTAACTTGACTATAGTTGAATTCCTTTGTACATGTAGTTTCGCCACATCTCAAAGCCTACATATGGACTTCCCCAGCAAAGAGACAAAAATCCAGGCCTGACCCCTGTGCTCAGCTTTAAGCTCTTCTGGAGGTTTTCACAGTCATGTTATTGCAGATCAATAACTGTATTACCCTTTGCTTCAAATTCTATTTACTGAACATATATCTTTATGGCAGGATGGACACCTGTGGGTGACATCTTTGAAGCGATTCATACAAAAGGGGACCAGGCAACATCCGGCCAGGCACCTGCCCCAGAAACAACAGAAGGGCAATGTAAATGTAAACTCAATGCAACATGTATATACAACAGTTCTGGTTCTTGAATCTGATTAGCCGAGTGTATTAATGGAGCGTTTTGTTCAAAGCACTGATGCGTTCAGCAACAAATAAAAGGTATAGTTAGCCCCAAATTTTTTCATTTATTCACTCTCATGTCTTTCTAAGCTTGTGTGACTTTCTTTAGTGCGAAATGTGTCCATTTTTTTTTTGTTTTTTTTTTGTTCATTTAAGTCAACTGTCCCCAAAACTGTTTGGATACCCACATTCTTCAAAATATTTTTATTTGTGTTCCACACAAGAAACTCATACAGATTTGGAACGACACGAGGGTGTGTAAATGATTACAAAATGTTTGTTTTTGAGAAAACCATCCCTATCTTTACGAGCGAGTCGTTGAATCATTCACTCGATTTGTATTATAACATTCAGTTATTCTGGAATGTGTTGCTGATAGATGCACAATGTGTAATTAGGTTTCGTCAAACTGTATGTTTTCAGCAATACTCTGGTTAAAATGTAAATTGTTAACTTCTTGTTTACTTTGTTAACTTATTGTTACAACTTCTTTGTATTAAAGCAATATTACACTTGCAATTGTGCTGTTGGTCTGAATATCAGCACGGCTGTGATTACTTGCAATATTTGGAACAACAGCACTTTTGCTTGTGTGCTTATTGATTATTCACTATAGCGTACTTACCCTACCACAGATAAGAGACAGCAAAAGAGAAAGGCATTGCTGCCCAGTTTATAGTAGATCTCAGTGTTGACAATCTTCTGGCAAGAAGGGCATTTTACTTTTGCAGGGGACATGGTGACATCGTCCAAGCTTACTACTGTCTCTGGGAAGGCGAAACACGTTCATTTTGTTTATTCATTCATCATATATCAGTTCTATGGCAACCTAACCTGGACATTTGTCCATGGTTTTTGCCCAACTTGTCAAGTTGTAAAGATGTGCCATGTATGTAACAAACTGTTATTTTACCTGAGTTGTCCTCTTGCAGAGCAATGGTAGGAGAAATTGTCTCTGTAAAAGAAATATGAAGAAATCTTTGGATTTGAGCTTTTCCATTTGATATGAAGAGTATATTATACAAGATAATTAATGTTACGTTTGCAGGCTATCTATATTATTTCACCTGTGTTTTCCTCTTGCAGAGCAGTGATAGGAGAAATAGTTTCTGCAGAAACGGGGAGAATGTAGAGCCCTTGGATTGGAGCTTGAATTGGATCTGTCACAGAAAGTATATCATGCAATATAATACAGGATAATTAATGTTTCATTTGCACACTTATGACTGAGAATGTTCCAGAAAAACCACAGTATCACAAAAAATATTATTTTGTGTAGGATTGAGCACAACCTTACACTTTTTGACTTTCTCAGTTTGTGTAAATCCACATGGGGTTCAGAGTATAATATTATAGTATAATATAATTAACGTATAATTTTTCCACATTAATTTCACACTTGTTAAGTACAAATATGTCGTTTTGATTCATAATTACAGTGTATGTTTTTTTATTTATTTACCACAAAAGAATGGAAGTGAAATGTGACAACATGCCCCATAGGTGGGGCACGTTGTAACAGACAGCTTAAAATTTTAATGAAAAAACATAAAAGACCAACTATAATATTTTGTCAATAAAATAAAATTGACTTTTTTCAAATAAAATAATGGTATTTTTTTAAAAATGAAAAAGAATGTAATTTTGGAGTTTGACAGTGAACACATTGTAACCAGGGCCCCATGCTTGGGACGGCTCTGATCGCAATGCACAGCTATGCAGCATAGTTCAAAACAATGTGAGCAAACAGATGAAGAAAGACTTTCAGACATTTAGAAAATCACAACCCTCCCGTCCCTCCACACACAGCTCTCACAGAACACGAGAAATAATAAACGAGCCAAAATGCTTTACATTTCTTAAAGAGGTCATATGACGTTGCTAAAAAGAACATTATGTTGTGTATTTGGTGTAATGCAATGTGTTTATGCAGTTTAAGGTTAAAAAAACACATTATTTTTCACATAATGTACACTCCTGTTTCTCCTCTATGCCCCGCCTTTCTGAAACGCTTTTTACAAAGCTCATCGTTCTGAAAAGCGAGGTATGCGCTGATTGGCCAGCTATTCAGTGCGTTTTGATTGGCCGAATACCTCAAGCGTGTGACGGAAATGTTACGCCCCTTAACATACTGTGATGCCGTGTCCCGGCGCGATGAGGCGACACCAATAAAACCCATTACAAACGAGGCATTTGTTGCATTCAGTGCGTAGACATTTGGGGGCGTGTTTACACGAGCCGTTTTAGGAGGGCGTGGACAAGTCTTAACTTTTATAAAGAATATCTCTTTGGGTTTGAGACTTTAGTCTTTGCAACTTTAGGGATCTTATCTATGCACGAACAGCTTGTAACACTCCAAAGAGAAAGGAAAATTTGAAATTGCATCATATGACCCCTTTAAAATAATTTCTGAACATGAAACATCGACTCTCAGTCTTTATTCACCTGTTTCTTGTGGTTTCTCATAAAAATTCATGAAAGTAAATAGTGTAAATTACATTACTAATGTCATAGAATAGAATAGTTCTAATAATAGCAGGGCACATTGTAACACAGTGTTAATACGTTCCCCATCTGTGCAACTGGAAATTAAAACTGGTTAGTGTCTTCTGCTAGTTAGCATTAAAAGGGTCATGACATGAGAAATCAAATTTGCCTTGATCTTTTAGCATAAAAGAGGCCTTTGCACCATTAAAACATCCTGCAAGTTTCATAGCTTAAAACGTCCTCCTCATTATGAACAAAGCCTTTATTTAATCAAGCTCCAAAAACGGCTCGTTTTGGATCTGAAGGGCAAGGTGAAGTCACCTGGGCGCAGTCATTTGCATAAACACTGCCTCCAGAGCAAGACATCGATGAATAGACATCTTCTCACCATAGGCCCCGCCCACTGGCATTCAGTCGCTTAACGGCTTGACACTTGATTACACTGAATGCGAGTCTTGTGTGTCAAAAGCAAATAGAAATTACAATCACTGCCGCTATCTTGTCTTCACTGGATACAGTACAGAGATGTGCATTTGCTTTCTGACACAGCCAATGCACTCGAGTCTGTCAATAGGACAAATAGACTGAAAGAGTGTAGATAGTTTTAATGGCATCCTGGATCGTGCGCATGTTGTTTTGTAAACAAGGCACAGTGTCATGGAGAGTTCACAAAGAAGCATTTGTTGAAAGATGAAGCTGTACTAGATCTGACTGCAGGTGCATCACAAATCGTAGTAATGCTTTGTCTGGAAATGACCGTTTTATTTTGATTATGTTGTCAAAACACACATGCAATAGCGAGGGGGCGTTGATACTGTTTCCTATGCAATGACATTAGCCAATCATAACAGTGGCTGATTACTGAGAAGCCTTAAAGAACACGCCCCTTAAAAACAGGTCATTTTAGAGAGAGGTTCAGAACGAGCGTTAAAAATATTTTTCCACATATTTTTTTTTTTTTTTGTGTGCAAACAATTTTATTAACATTATAAGTAAACCTCAAGGAACATATTAAAAAAAAAATAAAAAAATCCATGTCATGACCCCTTTAAAAGAATCTAAACTCTGAATAAAAGATTGGCGATTCAAATAATGGCAGATTTGTCTCATTTTAAATTAACACCAAAAACTGAGATGAAAAATTTACTTAAGTCATAAATTTACTTTTGCTAATGTAAAATAAATGTTATCGGTATCTTCAAAAGATTTTTTAATTTTGGTACAATTTTTTTTCTGTATGGTGTTGATATAACAGTAAACACTGTAAATTTTGTTACGCTAGCATGTGTGGAAATATTTAAACCATGTGTGTTACAAATAACCCTGTGTTAGTTTGTGCCCCATGCACCCCTACTTAAAGAAATAAAGTGGTAATTAAGTTCAGCTTTTTTGTGATGAAATCAAGAGACACTTTTAATTACAGTAAATTATAACTGACCATTTTTATTTTATTTTTGAATTTAATTCATTTTAATATCTTTAATAAAATCAAATAAATGTTTTATTTATAATTAAAACTAATTAATTAAAATATAATATGTTCTTAATATGTATATGGTATGTAAAAATCATGGGATGTGTTTTGAGAACAGATTTACATCATGACCAGTAAATCAAAATTGTTCTTAATGAAATTTTTTTTAATCTAAATGTAATTGTAGATTTGAATGAAATCTAAATGAAATTGTAAAATGTATGATTTTTTTCCTTAGAAATGTAATTGACTATAAATACTTACTAATGTATTGTTCATGTATTCACTGTTTAGTAAAAGAAGTACTGAACTGAGAAGTATTTAAAATCTGAAAAATAAAATCTATTTTACATTTTGCTCAAGCTTGTTTCTGCCTTTCTGTTTTGTTTTGTGTGTGTATATGCATGTGTGTGTTTCTTAAATTTGTCGAATTTATAATGTAGACACATGCCTTTGTCTGTGGTCTGTGTTGTCAAACTTTTTTTTTTCTGAACAAGATCCTTCTCTTTTTGCTCCAGTAACTTCAACTCCTCCTCTATTCTGTCCAGTTCTGTAGGGCCCTCTTCATTTGCAAGGTATCCTAAAAAGAAAAAAAGAAAATGTAAAGCAACCAAATTATTGTTTGTACTAACTAGTCAAATATAAGCATGCAGATGTATTACAGTCAAGAGTGGAGTCATTGCAATTTGAATGCTCATTTCCTGGTAAAGTAGGCAGGTCCTAGAAAGAGTAATTGCATTACATTGTTTTGCATGTTTTATTGCACAGTGAAATAACCAAATGTTGTTGCTCCTACTCTGAAGTCCATAGATCAGTCTGAGTCTAACATTATTTCCAGGGGCCAACTGCATAATTCTTAACAACTAGTCTGACCAACTTGCAGTTACCAATGTGTAATAAGTAATTTTGGGATTTAAACTAGTCTAACTACGTTTTTGTAACCCATTGTTATGACCAGTCCTAATAAGAAAAAAGTACTAGACTAGTTTTAAGACTAGTTCAAGCGCTTTATGCAACCAGCTAGCCACAGTAATGTTTCAATTAAGGTAACTTTTATTGTTATTATTTAATTAGAGTAATTTCTTTAGCAATAGCATTGCCGTTATATTGGTGTATGAGTGTTATTCCATTACCTTCTATTCTGTTGTTCTTCTTTTGGATCTCCTGTAGGAACTGAAGACGGTTTAGCAGCTGTTGTCGTCTGAAGAGGATGTTCCACAGGTCTGTGGTATCTTCATCCTGTTCAGGGCCCTGTGGCAGCACTGGGGTCGTACTATAGTACATTGTCATAGAACATTGCCCTATAGAGCAAATTACATTGATTTTACAACCTTATATGTAAGCATATAGCCTACCTTTTGGCCATGTAAACAAAGGTGCGGTCACATTAGCGAAATTTCGCGAGCAAAAATGGCCCGTTGTCCATTGTCAATAGTGTAGCGGAAGTCACTTTCAGACAAACAGCGGCGAATTCGCGTGACCAACTTGCACATGAGAGAAATCTGCATGGAGAACTATTGAAATGAAATTAATGAAATTCGCCCGCGAAATTTCGCAGCAGCAGTAAATGTGACCGCACTTTAAAACTGAAAAGCCCTACAGTTCTTCACGTGCAGCAGTCTGTGGTTTTAGTCGCAGGTTCGCGAAAGTGATCTAGATTTCTGCATTGCTTACCCATAAAATGTGGTCTGATCTTAATTTAAGCCACAATTATAGACAAACACTATCTGACTAAACTAATTTTAAAAAAATGCACTTTGCTTATTATTGAGTAAATAATCACAATGTAGGGTGGAGAAAGTAAGTGAAACATTGAATCACTAACTTGTAGCAGCAAAACATTTTTTTTTTTCTGTGGCTGCTTATAAGACTGTTGACCAATTTTGAACCATCCCTCACAAATATGTTTCATCTTAACAATATTGGTTGTAGCACAGCCCTCTTTAGGTTATGCCACAGCATCTCAACTGACTTATGGTCAGAACTAAGGCCATTGTCTTGACTCTTGTTGCAACACCCAATGACCTAAAGTCAGTCGTGAACATTTTTTTTGTAAAATATCTTCATAGACTTTTGTATTCATTCGTCCTTTGATGATTGGAAAGTGTCCTGGCAGGCTTGCCCTGAAGCAGCAAGGCAGTGTTAATCCACAATGATCCTTCTACCATTCTTCATGTTTGGGATGAGGTTTTGGAGTTGGTTTGCTCTAAACAGTGTTGTGCATTTTGTCCACAAAACATT